GAATTTGACAACTTACTAAATTCTGGATGCTCTGAATTGCATGCGACATAAACAGAGTAAATTAGAACCAAGTGGAATTTCTCTCTAAGAAGAACATTGTTTGCTTTTAAGAGTTGATTGCCAGGAGCCCACTAATCTACCGAAAACTGCCTGGCCGTGAATTGATCAATTTGGCTTCAAGTATCGTCGTAAGGTACACAAACTTCACACTGGATAAAGGACTGAAAAATGAAGAGGAGGCAGTTACTGAAATGATTTAGGATTACAAGGGATTAGCAGAGAGAACGGAAACAATGGTGGTGATTTATTATTTCACGCTGCAGAAACAAATGAGTTTACAGCCACAGGCAAGATGTATATTGAACAGCAAAGCACATTGCAAGCTCCTGACTGGTGTATTTATGGACAATAAATGCAATGTCACCAGCTTGGCAAAGTGATGTTAAATAAAGTGTTATTTTTCCCCACATCTGTGCACTGCAAAACAAATTGTTTTTAAAACAAGATAAACAAAATTAAATTTCCTAATTCAAACCTTTTGGATATAAACATGATAAAACGCACTGCTATTCTCAACCAGTAGAAACAACAAAAAAAAATCCTCGTATTTGATATAGCATTTTATCTCGTCGTTGAGACGCCTCAAAGTGCTTCGCAGAATGTACTGTGAAGTGTGGTGACTGCGTATTTTGTGGGCAAACACAGCAGCCAATTTGCACGCAATAACGTCTCTCAAACAGCCGTGGAGTGAGTGAGCAAATTTATTTGGGGGTTTGTTGGCCAGGACACCAGGAGAGAGAAATTCCTTCTCTTTTCAAATAGTGTCATGGGATCTTTAACCTCCACCTGAACAGGCAGACGGTTTAACACCTCATCTGACAATACTGCACACCTCAGTCAGCACTGAATTGGAGAGGTAGCATAGACTGTATATGGATTCCAAATCCCGACCTGGGGCTTGACCCCACAATCTCTGACTCATTGGAGGCGAAAGCGCTACCAACTGAACCAGGCTGATACCTAAATTATTGACCGTGGTTAGTTTAGTGCGTGGTTTTTATGAGTTTCCATCCCTTTGATTCGAATGATTTAAATGTCACTTTAGAGTGCGCTTTCAAGGGACTTTGTCGTAAGTCATAACTTTATGATGGATTGTGAGGGCACACAAGTATAGAGAACGTGTACTTATCTTGACACTGGATCAGATTTGGGGAAAATTATGCATTAGCAGGAGGCTTTATATTGGTGTAATTATGTCACTTGATTAAACCATGAAGAATTTTACTGATTTCAGCTACATTTAAACCTAATTATTAAACTAAGGCTAAATGGGAAAGAATTCTCATTAGAGACTCATCTTGTCAAGATTGTAACTGCTCTAATGACTATAATGGAGCTTTACTCTAGATAAGGGAAAAGTTTATTGTAATGAGCAGTTTGTGCTAACAGGTTTACAACAATTAAGTTCTAACCATATATTTTGCAAGGTAAATCATATTGGGCGGTTAGGTTAATCTACTCCAAAAACAACCTTTCCCGTTTCAAATCAGTTGCCTTGCAGAAAGAATACCAATAGAAGGTCTCCTGCTATTTGCTGCCATTAAGACTTGAGAGGGAGGCATGACTTGAAGACAGGAATCAGCAGAAATGTTCAGAAAGTACATCCACACTTAATAACAACCGTTTCCACGAACTTGTGAGCTCCTGCAGAACATCTTTATTAGTCCCCACAGCTTTGTAAAGTGCTCTGAAGAAATGGAATTTTCTTCAGCGGCAATTACCTATCTATTAGCAGTCTGTTGGCTGAGCAGGAGTATTTGGGAATAAGACAGACTTAAAGGTTAGTAAATAAGCAGGTTCACGTGGGACAGGTCTGGAAACTTTTTTAAAAAAAACATAACTTACACGCTATCAAATAGTTAGGAACTCATATCAAAATGAAGCCAGGAAAATATAATAATAATCCTTGCATTTGATATAGCGCCTTATCACATCTTTGAGAAGTCTCAAAGCATTTCCCAGAATATACTGTAAGGTGAATTGACAGTATATTTTCTGGGCGAAATGCCAACTGCACACAGCAGTGGATTGAGTGACCACTTTTTTTTTAAATATATTTTTTTTTGAAGGGATTAATAATAAAATGGAAGTGGACTGTTTATAACTCCTCACCCCTTTCGTGCACTTGGTTCATTTTACTCGAATCAGGAAGACAATTTTCAAAATGTATGGGTGTAGATTTTTTGCGGGAAAGTTATATCTAAGATTAGAGCAAAAATGTTTAGCCATATTTACAGGCACTGTGTTACACACTGTAATAACTGACAAATCAGAATGTGTAAATGGATGGTAAACAGTGTGTGAAAATACCTTATTAACCTTCACATTGCCCACTGAGAGTCTTCTCAGCAGATCTGGCTGTTTTAGCACATTGTTGAGATCACCTCTAAACTGCTGGGAATATTATGCATGAAGGTAAAATGTAGGAGCATTGGAGCTATACAGTTACATGGGTAATGACGACAGCAAATCTTTGTGGCTCGAGGTGGCACCGACATTTGCAATCCCCAAAGGCTCTATGTTCTGCTTTGCTTCGGTTACCAAGTACATTCTTTGAGTTGACGTATAATCCAATCGGCTTGACAATTTTCACAGCCCTGGGTGTATACAGCGAGGCTGGATAAGGTTGTAATGAACATACATAAATGATGTATATACGCTGGAAATCAAAGCTAACGAAAAATAAGTAATAAGTTATTTATTCACTTCAGAAATATACTCCAATTAAGGCTGACATTTCGGTTTGTCAGTACCTTAATCCAACATGATTTTCCTGACGTTTGTAAATTTGCATTCGCTGATAGACTGCAGGCAATAAGAAAGCTTCATTAATCGCTCTGGGACGCTACTCTGCGTGAGGGGCGCTATATAAATGCAAGTTGTTGTTGTTCTTGTTACAATCCACGACTGTTTGTGGGACGCTGCTGTGTGCAATTGGCTGCCGCGTTTCGCCCACAAATATAAGGTCAATACACTTTACAGTCTATTCTGTGAAGCGCTTTGAGACGTCGAGAAGACGTGAAAAGCTTTACATCCTACATTTGGGTCATCTCTTTAAACACACAGAATAAAAATTCAAACAATTCTGGAGGTGTTTTCCCAAGATTACGATTTAATCTTTGCAACGTTAACCTACATCTATTGACATGACTGAAGTATTTTACATCCCACTGCCAACACTGACGTCTACAATTCCAAATTTCAACTCATTGCTCCTTCCCCTGGTGAACCTGAGTTCAATTCCAGGCAGAGGGCGAAACCTTGGGCAAGTTTCCTTACTCCACACAGAGCCTAATAATAGTCCCTCCAAAAAAACAAAACAATAATAAATTGGTCATTTTCAATCTACGACTGTTTGTGGGACATTGCTGTGTGCCATTGGCTGCCGCGTTCGCCCACAAATATACAGTCAATTCACTTTACAGTGTGTTCTGTGAAGCGCTTTGGGACGTCCTCCCAACGTGAAAAGCGCTATATGAAATGTAAGGATTATTATTATTAAGACTCTTTGAGCCAAAGTAGCCAAATGACTTTTGTCAAGTCTCACACTGCTGCAACACCAATTCATTTGATGATGATGATAGAAGTGATTTCACATTGATCGGAACCTTAGAGACCATCAGTAGAAACTCCAAATTGCTTACCACCTAAATCTGACCATTAAAAAGATGTTGTCTCATCGCCAACAGTGTTCTGAGATTCCTTCCAACATGTGGAATTGCAGTGTCAAGGCAACCAAAAGCCTTGGGATGTACAATAGAGGCTCACTTGACGGCAACAAAATTTACTGAACACTTGAGGTTTCGTTGCTTAAATTTCATTCGTCTTTTCAGTAACACGGGGGTGAAAAATGTGACTGACGATCAACATGAGCAGCGGCAATAATCATCACATCGACCGAAAATCACATTCAAAGGAGTCAATAGTTATCAATAGCCTCGGCCTGGCTGTCCGACAATAATACTATATATCGTATTCCTGTCGTCCCCGTGGTGACCTGGAGTAATATACACCGCATTATCACAACAAAGTAATAAAATCCTTTGCTCTCACTACCCATTGTGAATCATTGTCAAAGCTAAAGATCTCGATTTGTTTCCTTCTCTCAAATGAAACCATTGAACCCTGTGGCCACGGTGTGAACCATTTTTGAGCTGATTGTATTTGTGGAACAGTCAAGATGAAAATCCCGCTTGCAGTATAAACACTGACAAGTTGCTAGCACGTTTGCTGTGGATTTTTTTTTTTTTTTTTTTCTTTGTCGTCTCCAATTTTTGCCATTTCCATTTCATTGCCTTTGATGTACCGAATTCCGGAGAATCTCGAAAACATACGAAACACAAAAACTCAAGAGAGAAATTTCATTCGAGTCGAGACTTATCCTATTTATGTAACGTTTTCAAGCATGAGGAGCTTGGCAAATTGTTGAATTGAGTCTTTTAACTTTGAAAGCTCCTCTTTCTGTAGTTCTGAAAAACAACTTACAGAAAAAAAACGGCTTCAAAATTAAGGATGTGTTTAGAGAAATGATCGGATTCCGGATGCTCTGAAATGCTACATAATGAATTCTGGACGTAAGTGGAATGAATTTCTCCGCCAACCTGCTGAGCAGGTAGAATTCACAAAAAATAGCTTTTTGCTGAATGTTCTCTCTGAATATTTCAGTGATCAACCTGATATGTTGCAGAGCACAAAACAACGTAATAAAATCCAGGCTTATAATGGAGTCATTATTTTTCGTGCCTGTAGGAATTCAAATTTGCAAAATGGCTATCGCAATGGAACCAGAGGAAATAAAAAGGCTAATTAATATCCAAAACATACAGGAGCATAAAACGTTCATCGTGAATTCGTGCATTGTTTAAAAAAAAATGTATTATTTATGTACTATTTAGACAAACATCTATCTCCACGGTTTTCCATGCAATCAAACTGGATACCTTGATCGAAGGGCTTGTTAGGGTTCCAGCTTCTGAAATAATCATCCTGAAAAAGTGAAACAGAAATTACAAAATCATTTTGCGTCCGTGTTTCCGAGTCACTGCAATACTTCTCCATCTCTTGTGAATGAAGCACATTCATTCACATTCATTCCCAATGTTTGTCCTTGCGACAGTCTTTCTTTAACATTGGCCTGTTAACGACGACAGATCATACATTTCCTGCTGACAAACATCACGATAGCCCTGCTATCTTCCATCATTATTCTGCTTCTTTGTACAAAATACAAGTGGCTTAAATCTGTGGTTCTCTCCACCAATTTGTCTTGTTAATCCCTCGGGCTCACTGAACCCCTTTTGCTGTGGATTGTAAGAAGTTGTTCAGTCTGTGAGCGCGATGTCCTGATGCACAGTGACACGGCTGCTCGCTGAAAGATTTAAGCCTTATCTGTGAATCCATTGCATTACTTTCCACCCTTTTACCTACACAAATTAGTTGTCAGATTGCATTTCCTAGCTGTCACATTCCCATGACGTCCACTCACCTATAACTGTACCGACAGCACAGGCCTCGATTTCCCAGCCAGAGTGTAAGAGAATTTATCAATTATAATACGTGTATTATCCCTGACCAGCACATTGTGACTAACACCGTTTGGGATTACACACAATTGAATTACAATGTGTAACTGTTTCAAGAAGCTGCTTGATATGATTCGGTGTGATTGGCTTAAAATGCCAAATGGTGCAATTTAAGCTCGAGAGAACAGCTGAACCTGTGGGATGAATTTCCCAATCCTAGCAGCAACCAAGCAAACAATTACATGTAATAATTATCATAATATTAATAAACCTTGCATTTGATATAGCGCCTTATCACGTCTTTGAGACGTCTCAAAGCGCTTCACAGGTCACACTGTAAAGTGAATTGACTGTATATTTTGTGGACGAAACCACGGCAGCCGATTGCGCACATCAGTGACTCACAAACAGTTGTGGATTGAAGTGATCAAATTATTATTACTATATTTTTTGAAGGGATTATTGTTCCTGGAAAAGGAATCCGCCGATCGTTACTGTTAGGTAAACAAAGGCGCATGTGTTGAGTAAGGAAACTTGCCTCAGGTTTCGCCACGCACGGGAATCAAACCCAGGTCTTCCTGCTTGCGAGGCGAGGGCTCTAACCACTGAGCTATATACGTGCAAACTCACAGATGCACAGTTATTGGAAAGATATTTTTGTGATGGCTGTCTGATTGCTGAATCTGATCCCCTCTCCCGCTGGTTCGGGGTCGGACTCCGCCACAGTCAAGCACTCCAGGACGCTACCCCCCTCCGTGAAGGTCGCTATATAAATGCAAGTCGTCGTTGTTGATCTCTGCAGAAGGTCTATACAGAGCGAGGGTTAAGAAGCTCGTGGGTGGCCCAGAGGGACAGGCCGACTGCTGAAGCTGCCCAAGGCAAGGAAAAGAATTGCAGCCTTCAACCCCCGACCCCAGGGATCCCAGGAAACCACCAATCCACAGCAAGGTGCAAAGCAAACGTGGCACAATTCACAGGGTGTTCAGGGTCAATTAACAAACTGGATTGGAAACTGACTTCCTAATGAAAGGCAGATGACGTCAAGTGGGAAAATAGAACTCTTATTGGTTGGCAGAAACTTAGCACAGCTCTACAGAGGTCTGTCTGGATTCCCTGCTGCTCATAAATTATATGAAGGGAAAGGCTTCCATCAGCATTAAATCTGTTTACTGCAATACACAAAGCACTTTATTTTTTTTAAGCACAGTAACACTCGTCTCTCCATCTTTAACTAGCTATGATTTGCACTTGCTATCCATTTAGTTGCAGGAACTACTTTGGCCCAGTTTTACTGTTTTTTTATTGGCCGGGTGCATGACACTGTCCCATCACCGTTGCTTAAGAGTCTCCAAACCAAACTGAGAATCCCAGGCCTCCCACCTACACATGGAAATCCCAGAGATAAATTGTTGGAATGAAATGCACTCTCTCTCTGGAAGGAGGAAGGACGCACTCTGTTTACCTAATTCAGGAAAGTATTAGGCGCAGGTTGGCAAGAGCCAAGGCTTGGGGGAGCCCAGAGTGTACGTTGGGGTAACTGCTGGAGTCCAACCAGCTAAACCCACGTAGCTTGCCACTGATAGTGCTGTCTGGCCAGCTTTCCCGCAGCTTATCCAGCTAGGACCACCCTATCCTTTTGGGCTTTGGCTTCCAAGGTAAATAGTACAGGAATTCAAGGTGCAGCAAAAACTGGATAGCAGAGGCATTCCTGCAACGAATGAATAGCGAATACTCCGAATTAACGTTCTAATACTAGTCGCCAGCTTCCAAATCCACACTATTATGTTGAGCATTGGAGAGTTACGGGAAAATAATTTTAGTAAATGTTATCCAATTGAAAAAAACAGATTCAGAAAGTTACCAAGCAGTATTCAATTCTCTAAGGGTCTGTTTGTCCTAGCGCTTAGACTTGCTGTATTAAGCTTCCTCGGGAGGATTTACACAGGCATTTCATTTTCCATTTGGACTGTTTGTTCATAAGGTAAATGATAAATAGCTACTGGGGTAATACTATATCACAGTAACAATAGCAACCAGTCAGTCAGTCAGGCAGGCAGTCAGTCAAATAGATTTTAGGATCTAGGAAAAAGAATTGAAGCAAATACGAACCTCCACTTCCTGCACAGGTCAGCCAAAGAGAAAGAGAAAAGAAATTGTTATATCATGAAGCCAAATGCTGCACAAAACCATTTTTTTTAATACAATATTTAATGAGTGAGTTACATTCAGCAGCAGGATGTCTGACCACACGCATAAATCCAACATTCGCCGTGTTTATGAGTATCCAGACCATCAGTGAGTTACACATACACGTGCCCCTACGCATGGAAATTTCAGCAACAACAACTTGCTTTTACATAGCAACCCCTGGTGCAGGCTAGGGTCTCCGAGCGCTTGCATTTCAGATATTTCACTGTGTCTGGAATGAGATGTCCAAACTTTCCCAGACACACCCTGCTTTACCTCATTCTGGAGAATATAATGGACAAGTTGGCAAAGCGCTAAGGCTTGAGGTTTTCAGAGAGTGTGTGTGTGCTGTGCGGTTTGTGTGTGTGTGGGCTGAGAGGACTGAAACCACAAAGCTTGATCCTACAACTGGGTGTGAACTCAATCGCCATCTGATAGAATGTTTTCATTTTAATGTGAATGTGCCTGCATGGCAAAGGGAAAGATGCAATTGACTCACTCACTTTTATTCAGCAGGACAAAGGTTAACCCGTTACCCAACCAATTTATTGAATACGGATTTTCAATGAGGCTTTCCAGCTAGCTTCGGAATTGCATCGTTACAGACCAAGAACGGACTATTACTGAAATATTTTTTCAGATTTTGATGAGAAAATTAAACTCTCACACTTCACTGCTCTCTAGGTAAATGGGTGGTGGGGAGAGATTTTCTTCTCTGACTTTTCACAGTTTCATTGATTCAAATCAGATCACAGTCTAATGAGTTTTTTCGTTTAAAACTTCAGCGACTTTTGTGTCTTTCTTGTGAGTCTAAGAGTTGAGAGATGTTGAAGAAATAAAAAGTAGCAGCAGTGACTATTGAACCCTAAAATTATTCATACAAGAACTGAGGGACTATTTGTCTTTTATTCTAAATCATTAATGAGAATAAATTGCCTGGATTACAACTGATGCTTGAAAAATATATGTTTATAAACTCACCTTTCTAAGTATGATGCATCCATTCAGTATTTTAATATCTAGAGCAGAAATACTATTTAAGACCGCTGTAGTCCATTGCGTCCGCTACAAAAGCATCAGCCTAATTGATTAATTAGTGCAATAATCGGTCCACAAAATACACACAATCGCACCACTTTACAGTATATCCTGTGATGTGGTTGGGAGACATCTTAACGACGTAATGAGGCACTACCGAGGTTCGAATGCCACAACTAGCCTCTTTGGCCCTGGAATAGGGAAGGGTTTCCTCACTTACTGCTGATTAATAATAATACTTGCATTTCATATGGCAACTTATCACGTCGTCGAGATGTCTCAAAGTGCTTGCAGGATATACAGTAAAGTGAATTGACTGTATGTGTGTACATACATGCACAACTAATGGATGTACTTGTGCATGTGTGGCCAATGGTGAGAGGACAGCTTTGGGGTTGTGCGTGATGCCCGCTGTCTCTCACTGCCTAGTGGCATGCTTGATGCTGTGATGGGAAGATGTGAGGGTGGGTGTCCTGGATGGATGAGATAAATGCGCCAAAAGGCCTTCTTCACCCGAACCGATCTTACGAGGGCTGCTCTGTTAAGGTTAGAGAGTTACTGACCCCCTGTGGAACCACCACCACCCAACCCACCACCCCCTGCTCAGCCAGGATTTTTAATAAGACGAAACACAGCACACTTGTGAAATGCTAATGCTCAGAAACGGCCTTGAAATTTTCCCAAAAGCAGAAGTCAAAATATTGGAAGATACTAATTGTCCAGGTTGCCAGATCTTGCGAAGACACGGTTATTATACAGTAAGCCAACTGGATGAATATTTCATAAGCAGTAGAATCACCATTGTAAAACATGCCAATTAGACTTGGTGAGTAGGCTGGTGTGGGGCTGTTGCCATCTGTCTAGTCAATGCCTTTAATGCTGTTAACATGACAATGCCGAAAATATGCAGAGTATTTTTACTATTGTGGAAAACGACAATCAATCTGTGGCAACAGACACAACATTAACACCCTAAATGCTATTCTGGCTTTACAGGAGATTTTTAAACCACCGTAACTCACAATAAAGTTGGAACATGTCCGAAGACAATGGAAAATGCCATTGAGAATGCCATTCATTTCTTACAAACCTTCGCCTAATGACTCGGAATAGCAGGATCTAGAGCTGCTGACTGAACGTAAAATAAAATGATTAATATTAACGTCAACCATATCAAATAGATCAAACTCTTTCAGGGTTACATGTATGAATGTTTAACTTGTTTTCGGTGAATATACATTCAAACGATTGCCTTTATATATCGCCACACTACGACTTTCATAAGCAATGAAGTATAAAATGGTGTGATTAGACTCTCATCACACAGTCCAGAGACTTTTCTAAGAGCAGGATAACAAAGTCAACAGACTAATGATCTGATGAGGGTGGTGCAGGGTTTGATATCTATCAGCATTTAAACACCATTTCCACACCCACTGGCCATCGAATTTCGTAAGATCAAAATAAATATTGTCTTTCTCTTTTAAAGAACTTCAAGGGGTTTTGAACTCCCAGAGTCTAGGTTAACGCTCCAATACAGTAATTGGAAAAGAGAAGGAAGTTTCTGCTGGCGTCCTAGTCAACAATCTCTCAAATAAATTTGATCATGGACCTCATGGCTGCTTGTGGGACAAATTGGCTGCCGCATTCGTCTACAAGATGCACAGTCACTACACATTACAGTGGATCCTGTGAAGCACTTTGAGACCTCCTCCTGATGTGAAAGGCAAGGATTCTTATTATTACGATATCAACTTTATACATTATGCAAACTTTGTTTCCAAGGATGAAACAATTCCTCCCTGAGGATTTGAACTGAGGTGCTCCCCTTCCAAGCCCTTCTGCTCCTTCCCCACAGAAACCACACACTGTGAATTGTTTTTCATTAAGAATCGCATGGAAATAACAATTGAAGCATTACGGATCAGTATTGCTTAAAGAAAAAAATAGGCTTCAATTTAATGAACTGCAACTGTTGCACCTGCATTCAAAAGTGAGGAACAAATTTACATCCTTCCTTAGCGAATATGCTCAACTGACACTCTCTGAAGTACGTCCGTGAATTCATTTGTATGCATTACATGGATTGAGGCTTAGAGCTAAAATAATTGCCTTAAGGCTTGTTGTCTGAGCCTAGGTAACAGTAAGTCAGATCTTTATTAACTTCCAGACGACTTTGAACTCTTGAGGTTAGAGATCAAAAGAACTCCCAGTCTTAGTCTTGTTGTCTAAAGTGCTGGCATTAAACCAAAGTAAAATGACAAGCGTGTTCCTGCTGTACAGAGTACTGTTCTGCTGGATTGGATTTGCATTGCCAATTATCCCTTCAAAAAAATAATAATAATAATTTGATCACTCAAGCCACGACTGTTTGTGGGAAACTGATGCGCGCAATTGGCTGTCGCATTTCGCCCACAGAATATATGTCCAATTCACTTTACGGTATATTCTGTGAAGCGCTTTGAGACGTCTGGAAGTCGTGATAAGGCGCTGTATCAAATGCAAGGATTATTATTATTACACTGGGGAAAAAAATAAAGAGTGTACTGTGCTCATTAACCATTCCAACTCAAATCCCATCAACTAGGCCTTTCTTAATGTATAAATCAATCAAAGTCACTCTTTTTCACATCAATATTCTTTCTGTTTCCCCTTCTCCTGTTAGCTTTTGTCTGTGTTTTCTGACTGGGAGGGATGTCTTCTGATACCTTACCTAACATTCCACCATTCATATCTGAACCTCGACAGTGAGTGGCTGTGCCTTGGCTATTCCGAGGAAAAGAGGAACGGAGGAAAGAGGAGGGAGGAGAAGAGAGAAGGGGAGGAATGGGAAAAGAGGAAAGCAGGTCAAGGAGGGAAGTATGTAAACTAAGTTTGATTATGCGCTAATTCAACATCCACACACATGAACTCACTCCAACATACAACAATTTGCATTTATACAGCGCCCTTCACACCGGGTGCGGAGGGAGGGAGGAAGGCGCAGGGACGGGGGGAGTGAGCTCCAGAGCTTTGGGAACATAGAGGTATAGAGGACAATTATAGATCTGACGCAAGTGAGGTCATCCCAGGCCAAGGATTTGAACCTTCTGATCTGTATGACACTGCAGTGCTCTTACCAGCTGGGTCAGCAGAAGTGCTCCTAACACTTGTCTATTGTTTCAATATAGATTATATTATTTATATAGTAAATACAGCAAACTTATATTGCTAATACTAGTTGAATGCTAACTTATTATTTTCCTAGTAGCATAAGATAAAATATTACAGAAGACACTGGTTGTGCAAATCACTAGAATTCTTATGAAGAATACTTATTGGACATAAGGCTATTATTATTATAATGCTAACTGGATAAATATTTTATAACGATTGTAAAATGTGCCTGTAGAGAATTGCAGCATGCTGGGGTAACAGCTCAATTTCAGCAGGTGCTATTAAACCCAAATTTATTACAAACTACGTTGTCTAATCCAAATGCTTCTTTATCGTTGGGCAATCTGCAAAAAAACACCCAACGATCCTGCAACTGTTTAATGTTAGCAATAATTCAACTAACTTCACAATCAGTTCATACAAGTTGTTACGGCTTACAAACAGAAATAACAGCGAGAGATAAAAGTATCATAACAATAGCACATAATATTTAACCCCAGACTAACCTACACACTAAGCATTTCCATTCCCCGCAGTAATGTAGCCTCAGCAAGGCTATACTGAGACTGTCCGTAGTAAGTAAATGCACTGGATTTGAGCCGAGTCTGAGGAGTTGAAAGCACAGAGTACAAACACCTTTGGATTCTGATGAATCTTTCACCAGACTAATAATACTTTCATTTGATACAGCGCCTTATCACGTCTTCGAGACGTCTCAAAGCGCTTCACAGAATATA